AAAAGTTTTTAATTTGTGTGTCTTTGTGTATGAGCTGATGTAATACTTCTTGTTTTTTAAGTTCAAATGAGTATTTTGAACTAAATCCATGGCGTGTAAAGAAATTATAAATATCTTAACTAGTTGAAAGTTATGTTAACGCTGACTTTTGACATTGTTTTTTTTTTTTTTGAATAAGACTTTTGACATTGTTAAGGCTTACTTGAGTATCACTCCACTAGTTACGACACTTATTTCCAACTAAAGTCATGAGTTTGAATCCCCACATTCATATGTTGTACTTAAAAAAAAACTATGTTGAGGTTTGGGCCTATAATGAGAAACTTTTTTTAATAATAATGTAATTTTAAAAAATGACATGAATCGAGTAGATTTGAAAGTAATTCCAAATGTAGGATATAGCTAAATCGAATATATTAGATGCTATTTAGGTGGAACGTGTACGTTAGACACAATTTTTGATTAAAGAGTACCCCAAATTACATTAGACGCAATTTTCTCTTTCATTTCATTTTAGTTCTCTTATGGATTTAATCCAATTTCATTATCTTCCTTTCCCTTTTAGTTTTTACTGTTTTTAGAGAAAGAGGAGTAACATTTTATTCTTCATGCATGCAATTTTTTACGTCGTATGCGATTTCATCTTTTTCCTTCCATACTTAAAATGTGCGCGGCTATTAACTTTCCACTACAATAATTTTGTCCATAATTTTCCTAGTTGAAAGATAATCTATCTTTGACATTTAAAAAAAAATTACATTATTCATGAAATTTACCTATAATATAGAGGTAATTTTAGACCACTGAGAAAAGATAAAATGGTTGAGGATTAAATAGAAATATGCATAAAAAGAAAGGACCATTCTGTAAATTTGGCAAGTAGCATAGAGTCAAAAAACAAAAGGACCTAAGAGTCAGAAAAATGAAATTTGAAGGGTATTATTGGCATTTAAGAAAAATGTCATTTTCAGAGACATTGCCCGAAAATCCCATCTCCAACCCCACATTTCCGCGTCTCTCTTCTCTTCTCTTCTCTCTCTCCCAATCAAATCACTGCAAATACTGTGGGTATCTCTCCTTCACCTCCTCTCTATCTCTCTCTCTCTAGAAACTCTCTCTCCCTAGAAACTCTCGCTGGGAATTTTCCCCGCCATTCGATCGACCATGCTTCCATAGATAACTTCAAGGAAACAGGAAGATTTTGTGAAATGGGGTTGCAGGATTGTCCGGTGTCGGATCCCCTCCGCTCGATCTGTCACTGACACTAAATGTACCACCTGTGAGCTCTGTGGTCCCTTCATTTTTCCTAATTTTCATCGTCATTGTAGTTTTCTTGTGAGAGACATGTTTCTAATTGCGCTCAATTTGCTTTGCTGTATGCTGGATTTGTGTTTTGCGGCTTGCTCTAGGTTTGTGGAAGAGGGAAATTTAGATGGGTTTTGGCTGTGCTTTTTGAATGATTCTGTGAATTTGCGTTTCTGGGGGTCGATTGGATTCTCAAATAGACTCTATGTTGTACATTCTTTCATTTTGGGTTAGTTTTGTTTATTCTTGTGTATTTGTAAATTGTGCAGCTGAATAGGTATCTGAAGATTTAGATCAGCGAGTGGGAATAATTCTTTTAACAGGTAGTTTGTGTGTGTGTAGTTGTTCGAGGTGTAGGAATAATTTGTGGTCTGGTCAAGATTTTTGGTTATTCCGTTTTGGCATATAAAAAATCTTTATGGTCTGTGGTGTAAGGTTAAGAGACTTATTGAATTTATTTGGACGATCAGGAATTTGGACTGTGCTCTTGGAAATGCCGAAACATAGGATGAAATGAGTCAGACAGAAGTATCAAGGATAAAGCCCCCTCTTGTTCCACTTGCAACTTTGATCGGTCGTGAGCTGAGGAACGAGAAGGTAGAGAAACCTTTTGTGAAGTATGGACAGGCTGCTTTGGCAAAGAAAGGAGAGGACTACTTTCTGATAAAACTCGATTGCCAGCGTATACCTGGAAACCCATCAACTTCATTTTCTGTCTTTGCGGTACTGTTTCCTTTCATACATGATTGTGCTCTTGGTTACCAGATAGTTTGGTTACTTCTCTTGGTACATGAATTCTATGATTAGTGAAAGGATTGGGAAAATAGGGTGATTACAAGTCGTAGTCGTAGAAGGGATAAATTCCATCTCAAATGGGATTAGTGTCTGTTGTTGCTTTAATTATATGGAGGTCATTTCATGAGAATGCAGAGAGGTTGATTGAACCTTCTATTTGCAGATTTTTGATGGGCATAATGGCATATCAGCTGCTATCTTTGCAAAGGAACACCTACTGGGTAATGTTCTAAGTGCGATTCCTCATGGGGCCAGTCGAGAAGAATGGCTCCAAGCCCTTCCTCGGGCACTAGTTGCTGGTTTCGTTAAAACCGACATAGAGTTTCAGCAGAAAGGTTTTAGCACGTTTTCTATTCCATATTGTCCTTTTTCTTGAATACTACATGTCATTGTTCGCCGTGTCCTTATGTCACATTTTATCTTAATCAATCACAGGGGAAACTTCTGGGACCACCGTTACATTTGTTGTGATTGATGGGTGGACTGTTACTGTTGCATCCGTGGGAGATTCACGGTGCATATTAGACACCCAAGGAGGTGTGGTTTCTCTATTGACAGTTGATCATAGACTGGAGGAAAATGAGGAAGAGAGGGAACGGGTGACTGCAAGTGGTGGTGAAGTAGGGAGGCTCAACGTTTTTGGCGGAAATGAGGTATAATTTTAGTCATTCATGATGAGGTATTTTGAGTATTTTAATCACTTTATCGTTGCCCTCTACCCTTTTGCAACTACCGTTCACAGGTCGGTCCTCTCCGCTGCTGGCCCGGTGGCTTATGTCTTTCTAGGTCCATTGGGGATACAGATGTAGGAGAATATATTGTCCCGATACCGCATGTTAAGCAAGTGAAGGTGACTTTTCAATCTATCAATAATTGTTTGACAACTTATTTGGAATATACCTTGACCACTCTGCTATCTTTTTCTTCTGGGTTATACAGCTTTCAAATGCTGGCGGGAGACTAATAATTGCTTCTGATGGTATATGGGACGCTTTATCTTCTGATATGGCCGCAAAGTCTTGTCGAGGTTTACCTGCCGAGCTTGCTGCTAAGCTGGTTGTGAAGGTGGGTTTCAACTGTGGCCACAAGTTGGTAATTTGTAGCTCATTACTACTTCTACCATCAAGGCTTAGAAAAACATTGATGAGAATCAAAAACTAAAGAATAGGTTTGATCCTATTATTGGTTGTAATTATGAATCTATGATGTTGAAAATGATCTTCAAAATACTTATTTAAGAAATTTGCGTTTCTTCTTTAAGGGAAAAAAAAAAAGGTCTCAAGCCATTTCTAGCCTTTTAAAACATTGATAGAAGGTACGTTTCTTTTCAAGCCTGTCAATATTTTGATTTGTCCACATTTTGTAGGAGGCTTTGCGGTCAAGGGGGTTGAAGGATGATACAACTTGCTTAGTTGTAGATATTATCCCATCCGAGCAACCTATATTGTTACCACCAACTCCAAGGAAGAAACAAAATGTGCTCACCTCACTCTTTGGGAAGAAACGTCAAAACTCTTTGGGCAAATCTGCAAATAAACTTTCTGCTGTTGGAGTTGTGGAGGAATTGTTTGAAGAAGGCTCTGCCATGCTTGCTGAAAGGTACGATTGATGCTTATCTTTAGAGGGCTTAAAGTAGGCTAGTAACAACATCTTGTTATTTAGCCAATTGGTCTTTGAAATAAAGTTTTCTTCTTTCTTTTGGTTCACTAGTTTATTTCTTTTTGTTTTTGAAGCATGGAATGATGTCTGAAGACAGTTTACTAGGATCCTTTTCATCATTTGCGATACATCATACTTCAATTAACCAGATATCATAGATTCTGTTTTCTTGTTTCACATGGAGTGCAACTTGTTATATTGATAGAAAAATTGCTCTTATGATCGTTTCCTGAGATTATTTTCTTCATTCACTAGACACAACCTTTGATTTTCTTCATTGTTGAGAAATTGCTCTTAATTCTTCCTTGTTATATCAGTAGAAAAACAGCTCTATTCTGCAGTAATAGTGCAAAATTCCATCTGAAAGTGACTTGAAACATGTTGACTTATTCCTGACTCTCTCCCCTCTGAATGGAAATGCAGGCTAGGCAAAGATTTTCCTTCAGATCCAAACTCAGGGATCTTCAAATGTGCAGTCTGTCAAGTGGATCAACCCCCAAATGAAAGTTTGTCTATGAACTCGGGGCCCTTCTTTTCACCATCGTCGAAGCCTTGGGAAGGTCCGTTCCTCTGCACAACTTGCCGAAGAAAGAAAGACGCCATGGAAGGAAAAAGGCCAACAAAACCTACAATAACCGTTTAGTAATTTATCCCATAACATAGTTATATGTCGATAACTCCATATAATTTTTTTTCCTCATCTGGCAGTGTGAGCATGCTTGTTTTTTTGGCTTTCCCTGTGGTGATTGTTATAGCTGCGTGTAAGAAAAATGAGGTTGAGATTAAAAAAGAAGTTAGTAGAAGAGATGTTTTGGAGACTTCTAAAAAGCTTGCTTTGATTTGGTTTCTTGCTCAGCTGTTGGACTGACTGACTGACTGACAAGACACACAAACAATGGATATCAGACAGAGTGTCTTTGATAGTTTGATTGCTAACAACTTTAATTTTTAGAGTAAATTGGTGATTGTCCCATTGTCTTGCCATTCTGTCATATCCACTTCTAGTTTGCTTATTACTATGGTTCAAGATTGTTTATGCCATTTTCCCTTAACGTTTCTTAAACTGTGTTTATAAAAATTTCGGTAGCTCTTCACAGTTTTGAACCGGACTTTGAAAAGGCCTTATGGGATTCAAGCAGTAACAGACAATCAAATAGTCTATTTAAAGTCTGCCTAAATCTGTGGATTTGAAATTTTTATGCGTTCATACCTTTTTGAGGAGAAATGCATTTGAAAAAAAAAATCATTAAATGAAGCCGTCACAATATGACTCTTCTGTTGGATGCATATTTGAAATTTACAAGTCCCTAATAATTATGGGATACACATTCAAAATAGGTCTTGTAATTTTCTTTCATCCCTTCAACGTGCAAAGCTAACTGCATGGAGACTTAAGACATCAGCAAAGGTAGCTCTAATGAACCTATAATTTTCCTCGCCAATCTAACACTAAACTAGAATCTCAAAAAAAATAGCGTTTAAACAATTACAAGAGTGGATTACGGCGCTTCAGTATAGCTCAATCTTTGAATAGGAAGCAGCATCATCTTTCGGGGCTCAAATTACAAAGAAACACAAGCTTTTTGATTGAGACTTTTGATAATGTGTAGATCTTTGTCTCGTTCTAAAACAACCCTTCTTCTGTCAGTTACAACCCATTCAAAAAAAAAAAAAAAAAAAACACACATCAGACTGCGAGAAAGAATGAAAAAGTAGCCATGCAATGCATTATTACCATGTTGAGTAATCATGTTACCAAAATTTTCAGGAAAACTTACTCAAATCGTCCAAAGAAATATTGCTGGCACTTTCTGCAGGTTTTAAAAGGCGAATCTTCCCTGCAGATACGAAGAATGGCAGTTAAAAGGAGTCGATAATAAAATCCTTTACAGATCAAACTTGAACTAACATGTAGCATAACTGTCATCTGTGCATGGTTGTAAATACTTTTCTGTCATACTGTACTAAGATTTGGTTAAATTATCATTTTAGTCCTTTTAAACTAATTTCAATTTAGTCCCTAATTTTAAACTTTTTAACTTGGTCCCAATGGTTATGGTTAGGCTAAGTCTTACAAAACATCTCTAAACTTACCAAATCTTACCATTTTCTTACTTGATACAATCTCAATCACATCCAGAGAAAACATGTTCGTAAAAAAATTGTCAACTTTTTGTGATACTAGAGAAGTTTCAAAAGAATTAAAAAAAAAAATCATAAGGACCAAATCGAAACTTTTTAAATTATAGACGAAACTGATACCAAATACTAATCTTAGAAACTAGAATAGAAATTTCCTAAAAATAATGATAGGCTTCTCCTTTATATGCATAAAAAGACCATAAATGTTGTTGGATGAAGACTCTTCATATTAAGTTGACGTGTTCAACTAATTTCAGATAAATGTTGAAAGAAGGAAATCCAAAGATAGTATGTGTTGCAATACCATCGCGTCGAACACATATTTCTGGAACATTTTTTACTTCACCGTTGATGCTGTCATTGTACACTCTGGTCTCAATGTCGCCCTCAACATAAACCGATGCGCTGACAGCCCACCAAGAATCAGTGAAATTGTATAGACAAACTACGTTTTATGAGAAGTTGAGGTCATACTCTTTAACAAGTTGTTGAACTGCATAAGCACCAAGTGGTTCATTATGCACAGCAATACGATGCCACTGAGCAGGCTTTGGCAGATCCTTTGCTTCAACAATTCGTTGGTCAAACATTCCTCCTGTTCCAACTGTAAAGATAGTTATCGTGCGCCCGTTTCTCAAGATCTTCTGTACAGGGGCTTGCCCCACCCTTCCACAAATTATTGCCTGTCACCATTGATTATACTTTTAAACAGAAGAATAACAGGTTTGAAGAAACAATATCCTTGGTTTTCACATAATCTTATCACCTGAATCAAAGATAACTGCTTTTGCTTAGTTAAGGTGGGACTTTTACCTAAGATTGTGATATAACCCTCCAATGGAGACATTCTATTGATTGCCAAAAGAGAGGACAACCAGAACTCCACAAACATTCAGAGGTCTGGTTCTCTCCCTAACTCACTCTAATTGTTGCCTATCTTCTCTCTCATTTACAATGCTTATAAATCACTATCATAACTGTCTAACCGTGAAGTCTTAAAATATATGCACCTATATGAACTCCTACTCACTTACATCATACTTACAACCTCTAGCCACGTAAAATTCTCATTCTTCCCCATAAGAATCTCTCAATTATCCCCTACATCCTCTTCTTTTATTCTTTCTACAAGCGGTTTCCCTTCTTATCAATGCCCCCTAAAACTGATTAACGAAAGAGGGGCATGGTACATCTCTAAGAACGCAAAATATGGATCCTTTTGTTTTTTTGATAGGTTGTAAATTTGACCCAAGTAAAACAGTCACAAGAATAGATTACAGATATAAGATTCCACTTCTTGGGTCAAATTACCAGCAACCAGAATTCAAATCTCAGCTTCTAAAAATGGAACGCATCTGAGAACAAAGATCAAATACCTTATGTACACCTCGAAATCCCCAACCTCGCCTGGGATCCACACCTTGGGGCTGTAATTCTACTTTGTCATCGAACATATCATCATATTCTTCTTCTTCTCTATTGTTCTTCTCAACATCATTGTCACTTTCAGAAACACCGGTAGAGAACCACAACTTTGAGCTTGTTTGCCTACTTGCCACTACAACGAAACGTTCAATAATTACCCAAGTCATCCCTCCAGCACAAAGGTTACAGTTACGATAAACCCAATACACAAATCAGTCAAGTTCTAGCCAGCCTCTCAAATTTCATAATAAAATAAAGTTCGCCCCCCACGTATTTGATAAAAGTCCACTTCGAAAATCAAATTGTGGAAAGCACAAAAGCTGCGTTCAAATATCTAACCACATTTTCTACACTTGACCATCGAAATGCATGGGAAACTCCTTCATCTCTCAACCAAAAAAGCAATTCAAACAACAGAAAGAACATACGCCTTAAACAACAAAATATAATCACAGAGAGGGAGAGAGAGTACCAAATGAAGACGCGGGAAAAGTTGAAGAAGGAATTCTGAAATGCTTGGCGAATCTCAGTGCGACTGAATTCATGTTCGTCGAGAGAGCGCAGAAATGGAAGGGACGATGCGATGCGATCAGGGTAGAAGGAGGGTTTTAGCCTTAAATAAAAAGAACAATTTTTATTACAATTACAAGCATCAAATTAACCTATGAGTTCAACAATTTTTTTTTTTTTTTGACAAATTGATATCAGTATTAATGTGTGTTTAGGAGTGATAGTGGAAATAGAAATTTTCAAAAAAGAAATAGATTTAAGTAGAATTATTTTCCAAAATCATCATTCATAGTTTAAAAATTAATCTAAAGTGATTTTAAATTTTTCTAAAATCAATTTTCCAATTTACAAAACATTATTAATAGAAAGGAAAGTGATTTTTAACCATGCCAAAATCACTCTCAAACATACGTTTAATTGAGCATCATTTAAGCTATATTTTAACAAGATTTTATATGGGAAATTGACACCAATAACTTTCCAAAGTTTTTGGAATGCTTTTTAATTGTGCCCAATAACCCACTTTAATATTTAATTGAATTAAAATTGAAAGGATTGTTACCTCTCTGTTCAAAAATCAAGTCGTTGATCCTTTTGTCTTCTCCTTCAAATTTCTTCTATGTTAATTTTTGTTATTTTCCATTGATTTGAATGTTAGGGTTTTGATTTTCATTGCTGTTGGGTGGTTGAATGTTAGGTTTTTTCGTCGATTCCATTTTCCGGTGTTTTTTTGGATGAACGAAAACATGAATAACATTGCATCGATTTAGGTTTCGTTTCTCTTGTATTTCATTTTTCAAAAATAAGAAAACTGTTTACTCTTTGTTTCGTTCATTGCTTTTGGTTCTTTAGTGTATTTTCTATGAAATTTAACTATGTGGTCTCTGTGTGTGAGGTTTGTTTGAGAAATATTTGTGGTGGAGGTTGAAGAAGAAGGGTGAACTCAGGCAAAGTGGGATGGATCTCGTGCGAGGTTAAAGAAATCCAAACCTGGCTCGAGGTTTCTAAGCCTCTGTCCAATTTCTCGGGAACGACCTCGGTCGAGGTTGGCCCGAGGGAATTCAAATACACACAACCTCGTGCGACATTTGTGCTTTTTGTTATTTTTCTCGGGTTCGACCTCGGGCGAGGTCGAGCCCCAGGTATTCGGAAGAGGCTGAAGGTAACCTCGAGTTTGAGCCTCGAGGCTCGACCTCTTCAAATACCTCGGGCTCAACCTTGCAGTTAACCTCGAGGTTGAGCTCGAGGTTGAACATATTTCGAATACCTCAAGCTCAAACTCGACTAAGGTTGTCTCGGGAAATTTTCCAGAGCGTCCAAAACCTTCCTAAATCCTAAACCATGCTCGAGGTTACTCCCACTTCGTACGAGTTCAGTCTTCTTCATCCTCCCATCACCTCAACCTCCGACATTTCAACAAACATTACACCACCACCACAACACAGAAGAACCACAAAGAGCAAAAAATCAAGAACAAATAAACAAAGTAGATTTCCTTTCCCAAAAATGAAATCCAAGTCGATGGAAAACTAAATTGATGGTTTGTCATTCACGTATTTCTTCATCTAAGCACCGAAAAACAGAATCGACGGAAAAAAAAGACCATTAATTCCTCATACGCAATCAAAAACCAAGTCCTAATCTTCAAAATCTATCGCCCACTATATACATTAACAGAAATCGAACATATCTCGAAGTTTTAATCTTAAGATTAACTTTCTTGCCAGAGGAATTAGCAATGGGAGAACAAAGAAGAAATCTCAAATAGAGAAGAAATCTCGAAGAGTTTCTTTTTTGAATTGAAGGGTATTGATATAATTTCCTTTCAATTTAAATTCAATTAAATATTAAAGTGGGTCATTTGGACACAATTAAAGAGGGTGGATCATTTGAGCATTTCAAAAGGTTTTGAGGTTATTTGTGTCAATTTCCTTTCACAAAAAAAGAAAATTTATTTATATATATATAGCAAAACAAATACAAAGATGTTCGAGGATGTTCTGTTTCTTGAATTTTATTTTATTTTTTTAACATGGAAGATAAAACAAGTAGAAGACAGATTATCCCGTCAAAAGGTGAAAAGAGGTTGTCATTCTACAATTAGAGGTAAAATATGCTAATATAGACAAAGGCCTCGACTCTTTTAGGATTCGCTAGATTAAGGTCTTTTCGAGTGAAGCCAATAATTTCGGAGTTGTTTGTATCCTAATTGTTCAAGAGGTGCCTGACTTTGAGCAAGTTGAATTCTATGGTTAGATGTAAGATCTACTTTGATTGACAATTGCCTTAAACCTTAAACAATAGTCATGATTTGAGAAGCTTAATAGGCTATTCCCTTGTTATAAATTTTGTTCCATAATTTTGCCCTTAGAGTTTTGGATTATCCATCCCATAATCAATTTCTATTAGCGTATCAAGTCAACTGTTAAAAGTATGAATAATTTTATAGTTTGAATTCCTATCATCTTACAAGAAAAAGACATTAAATAAAGAGGTCGTGAGTTCAAATCCCTCTCCCAACATATTGTACTAAAAATAAAAATCAATTATATTGAAGCTTACATTGCTCTACCTAGATCAATCTAAACAGAACACAAGTTCATTGCTCCTCATGAATTGTGTAAGAAAATACATCGCATCATCAAACAATCTTCACCAAAGTCTAGTTTAAATAATTTTACCTACCAAGCGAAGTTCAAGTAATGAAGCTACCTCTGTTATCTCTTCTGCATGTCAAAGGTAAATAGTAATCTTTCATTTTTGTGAATAATTTGAGACTCAAGCTGACGTGTAAAATATCTCAAAAAATGAAGTATACAAATTGGAACTAGAAAGGGGCAAAATTAAGTGATATATAGTCCTCCATAAAAATATGCTAAGCACAGGCAGCAACAAATTGGTCTGATCCAGGCCTCCCTCGAATAGATAGATAGGTAAAACAAAACAAAAAAAACTAAAGAAAAGATGTACTTAAAATTCTGGTCTATAAATTGGTAGACAATCATTAAGTTAAAAAACAAAAAGGCCAACTCTTCCACCAATAATCTTCTGCCACGTAAATGTAGCACAACAGATCACAACTATTACTACAACCTTCGCTGCTGCTTCTTCCCATCCCTTCTCAATAGTAGCAAAAGCAAGTGAGGATTATTTTTTTCCGCAAGTTTTCAACTTTGATCAAACCCAAAATTTTCTTCACTCCAAATCAACTTTGCCAGACTCCCCCCCACACATTCAGCGTTCCGTGCTACCACGAGCGGGAACTCGGGATGAGGACCACGACGACCTTGAACTTCCAAATGCTGGTCTGCGATCATCACTGCGCCAGCTGTCTGGTTGGGATGGTCGACTGTCCGGCCTGCTGCTTCCCCATCGATCAGATTCAGGTGGTGCATTAGGGCTGGCACCTTCAGGCCGTCGGAACCTTGGCACATATTTTCCTGGAGTCGGGCCAGCAGGAGCAGCTGCAGCAGGAGCAGCAGTCCCAGACTCCAGAGGCCGAGAACCAGTAGAAGCATCAGGTCTAGCAGGCGCATCGGTTGATCTGCCACCACCAAAGAGCGATTCTTTCCGCAGTCTTTCTTTTTCTTCCAATTCTCGCTCCCTCTGCCTCTGCTTCTCAGCAATCTCATCCAATTTCGCCTTGCGTTCAGCTTCTTCCCTCTTTCTCCTCTCAGCCTCTGCAAAGTCCAAAAGATGCCGTAAGCAAAATTCGACAAGAGGAAACAAAACACGACCACAACATCAAGGCGTACCAAAACCACCAAAATAGTTTCTCAATAGCAAAGCCAGAAGAAAGAAAAAAATGGAGAAAGAAGTTTGATAAGATGCATTTTGAAAGCCCAGATATTTTTTTTATAAGAAACGGAATATATTGAACCAAAAAGGAGAAAACAGCCTTATTAAACCAAAAAGGAGAAAACAGCCTTACCACATTACAGCTTGCCAGTCACAAGAAAGTAAAGCTAAACTGTAATTACCTTGAATATTGGAAATCAATGTATACATAATGAAACAGATCGTTGGAAGAAAAATTTTGAAAAAGATTAATAATTGGATCATGGGTGAGAAAACAAAACTTCTATCGAAGAGAGGAATTGGGTAGATTTATGGATGGCGGTGGTTGGTTTAAGTGACATTTTTTATTCATCTGAGAGGTTTCTCAAGTCTTGCAAACACACCCACCTAAAACTGATGAAGGCTCCACTCTAATGTAACCCAATAGTAGAAACTACGATGGGGATGATATTCCAAAGAATTCTTGAGATAATATATATATAAATTATAAAAAGGAAAAAACATGAAACCTTTGACGGTGTTTGACCCCATAGAAAACAAGAACATTTCAAACAAATACCTTCTCGCTTGCGTGCTTCCTCCTCTTCACGCAATATTCTAAGCCTCTCCTCTTCGCGCCTAACATAAAAGATTTTCTTCCTCTTAGCCTCCCTTTCCGCTTTCCGGGCCTGAATTATTTGCCTGATCTGTTCTTCTCTCTCAGATCTACGTCTGTTGAACTCCTCTTGGCGAAGATTAATGACTCTTTCTTGGAAAATTTTCTAAAGAACAGGAAAAAAACGTTACAAAGTTTCATATTCTTGGGCTATTTCATTGAGAAGAATGAAAAAATATAAAAGACATGTACAAAACAACAGTCCAGCAAAAGGAGTCAAAGTAGCTCCAATCTAGCAAGATCAGACCTAACCTAAACAGTAATTACAAATATCTTTGAACATAGAAGCAGGGAAACCTCGCCTTTCCAAAACCTCTCAACCCCTCAAAAGATCTTGTTTCTTTTATTCCAAACATCTCATGGAACAGCTAAGAAACCCACCTGCCACAAAAACCCCCTTCTGAGAGACCGCAATTTTCCAACAAAACAGTAACTTTCCACTAACCAAGAACATCAACATTCCACAAAGACTGGAGGGAAGATTTGAATGCAGGGTGGGAGAGCCACAAAGAAGGTTACAAAGTTACATCATATGTTAGAAGGCAACTATTTTTGCAACGATTCATAGTCATGTTCACTTCAGAACATATATGGAGTAAAGAATTTAGAAAAAAAAAATCCACATCAATGACGACACAAGAACAA